CCACTTGGCTGGCCCAATATCGACCCTTTTTATACCTAAAAGCTTCACCAAATAACCAGGACATTCTATTATATAATGCTAATATAGTAATAAAAATCAGGAAATATTTATATAAAACTATGCAGTCCAGAGACAATATTCAAATTTGTCATTGTCCTTAATAGCATTTTTTTCCCCTGGTTCAGATTCCAGTCCAGGAGAACATACCAAATTTAGTTATCATGTTCCTGAGAGCCTGCAACAATTTCTCAGCTTTTCTTTTTCTTTCATAGCCTTGGCAGTTTTGAAGAGGACATACCACTTAATCTGGACAATGTCTCTCACTTTGCATTTGTGCCATGTTTCCTTATGTTTAGATTCAGGTTATGTGTTTTTAGCAGGACAACTAGAGAGGTGATGTTGTGTCCTTGTTTCATGGTGGGACTTCTCAGAAGTCCTTGGTGTTTTGTTTTCTGTTTTGCTGGTGATGTTGATTTAGATCAGCGGTTCTCAACCTTCCTAATGCCACGACACCTTAATACAGTTCCTCATGTTGTGGTGACCCCCAGCCATAAAATTATTTTCTTTGCTACTCTATAACTAATTTTGCTACTGTTATGAATTGTAATGTAAATATCTTTTTTTCCGATGGTCTTAGTCGACCCCTGTGAAAGGGTCGTTTGACCCCCGAAAGGGTCGCGACCCACAGGTTGAGAACTGCTGATAGATCATTTGATTATGTTTGTCTCTGCCAGGTTTCTCTTTTGTAAGGTCACTCTTTTTCCTTTTGTAATTAAGTAACTTGTGGGGCGATAATTTGAGACTATATAAATATGCTGTTCCTCATTAAATCTTCTTCGTATTCATTGATAATGCTTGCTTTAGATTAGAAATTTAATATATACCTTATCTGTCTCTACTGATTGCCAGCAATGATTTAGTGCTAATATTCAGTGAATGCTTACTATATATCAGTGACAGAGTAGTGATGTTTTTGAGAGAATGGTGGAGTATGTGTTGTAATTGTAGAATCCAGAGGGAGTGAGGGATCGCACACGCGCATATGTGTGTGTGTGTGTGCGTGTGTGTTTCCTAAATTACTGTGGGGTTTAGCAAAAAACAAACGAGGTGATGTCTGGGTTCATCCCCTTGGAGTTTTTGCATTCAGGGAACAGGTTACATATCCTAGCAGTCTTTTTGTAGAAATTATCAAGCAGATTCTAACATTTATTAGGAAATGCAAGGGATCTAGAATAGCCAAAGCAACCTCAAAAAGTGACTAAGTTGAAGGACATACACCAGCCAGTTTCAAGTCTTATTATAAAGCTGTAGTAATCAAGAAAGTGTGGTAAAGATGGGTTAATGACCCCCACACATACGGCCAATTGACTTTTCAGCCAAAGTGCTAAGGCATTTCATTCTGGAAAGCATGATCTTTTCAGAAAATGATGCTTGAACAAGTGGATAGCATCTGCAAAAAATTGAAATCTTGACCCTTACCATATACAAAAATTAACAGAAAGTAAATCATGGAGTGATGTATGGGCTACAATTGTAAAACTTCTAGAGGAAAAAGAAGAAAATCTTAGTGATCTTGAGCATGACAGAGATTTCTTAAAGAGGGCATCAAAAGGTTATAAAAACAAAAAAAGTCACTAAATTGCACTTCGTCAAAATTAAATTTTTGCTCTTCAAAGTATATTGTTTAGAAGAGAAAAATACAAGCCAGAAAGTTCTCTCAGATTTTGTTTATAAATATTTTTATTTGGCCTTCATTTTTGATGGATATTTTTAGTGCCTACAAGGACTCCTGGGTGATTATTTTCCAGAACGTTAAGAGATGTTCCATTGTCATCTGATGTGCATAATCCCTACTGAGAAGTTTGTCCTAATTCTCATTTTAGTTCCTTTGTATATAACATATCTTTTTATCTTCTGGCCTTTTAAAAGATTTTATCACTGGTTTTTAGCAATTTGACTTTGATATGCTTTGCTGTGTTTGGTGTGTGTGTCACGTGTAGATGTGGGCGTCCATCCCCGCTCAGGATTGTTTAGTTTCCTTTGACCTGTGGGTGTATAATTTTTGTCTGTGGGCTTATAGTTTTTGGCAAATTTGCAAAGTTTTTAGTTATCAGTACAAGGAGTTTTCAACTCTGGCTATTTGGAATGCAAATATCTGACCACCTTATGTGGTCTCTCGGAATTGTTCAGCTTTCACTTTTTCAGACGTTCTTTGCACAACCTTAGGGAGTATCACCCTATGCATGAGAGGTCTACTACTCAGCAGAGACTCATGGTGACCACTTTGTATATTTCTAGAGGTCTTTTTTGCTTGACTCCCTCCCTGCTCCTGAACTCAGCCTCCACATATTACATTTGCCTTTTCAAACACAGCTTTCCATTTCCTCAGCTCATACTGCTGGACCCTGAGTTTCCTCCTCTTAAGACTTGTGCCAGAAAATTGTGTCTGAGCCTACCTTGTTTTCATTTTCTGGGGATCACAGTCCTATGTTGTTTAGTCTTTGAGAACACCTTAATTAATATATTTTGTCCAGTTTTTATTGTCTACAATGGACGTGCACGTTTTGGTCCTTGTTAATATATCATGGCCTGGAGCATAAGCACTTACGTTTAGAGATACTTATCCATATTTTAGAATCTTAGTCTTATAAGCTACTTCAGGAGGGAAAAACACATAAAATATTTATTTTTAAATATAAGAAATCTTTATAAACTTGAAAAGTACTTTACCCATACATACAAGCATGATGTACTTGCCAAGTTCATATATGTTTATGATGAATAAACATATCTCAATGTTATTTAGCTGTTGTCAACAAAATAAAAAATTGTTAGGATACCAGACTAGGCAAACAATATTTACAATTTTTTAAACATGCTCTAATTAAAAGATTTTTATGATCATTGGAATGATCCAGTAGATTTGGTTGACTTGGCTAAGGGTGGGCCTTGTAATTTATTCTTAAAAAGCTTCTCTGGTGATTCTGTTGCACTGCTAGGTTTGGATACCATTGATGTAGTCTAAACATCCATTTTTTTACAAATAATCAATTAGATCCAGAGACTTGATGAGTTTACCAAGGATCTAGATAATTAGCTAGTTGTGTATAGACCTAATTCATTGGTCTTCTTTACCACTGTACCTGAAAATGTTACAACTTAGGTCATTATTTACATGAATTTCTTAACATTTTTTAGGACTCGTTTGTAAGATTTAGTTATAGGTAATCATTGGGTTGTCGGAAAAGTCATGACGTATTTTTTCTATGTTTTTTGTTGCAAAAATGCGTCATGACTTGTCCAAAAACCCAACTGTTGAATCAGAATACGTGTTAAACTATAGGCAACTGAATATTATGTTCAGGGTGTTTTAATTCTAAATTTGATTCATGTTCATATTTTAAAAATATTTATGAATATCTGGAATAGATATTATTTTGCACGTTGCATTGAATTAATTTTACACATTTAGGAAGATGAACCACAGGAAGATGCTAAAGAACTGCAGCAAGGTAAACCATATCACTGGAGAGACTGGTCAATCATCAGGGGCAGGGACTGCTTATATATATGGAGTGATGCAGCAGCCTTGGAATTATCTAATGGCAGTAATGGATGGTTCAGATTTATCTTGGATGGAAAACTTGCCACCATGTATTCAAGTGGTAGTCCTGAAGGTGGATCGGATAGTTCAGGTAATATTTTGTTTCTACTAAAATGTTTTACTAGTGTCTGTAATTTTGATAATTTGATTTTTTGCTACCATTGTCATAGAAATAGCACATCCTTGATGTTCATATGGCTGGCTTCTTTAATATCAACAGAAAAATTACTGTACCATGAAAGCATTTCATAAATGCCTTTTTATTATATGAGACAAGGAATAACACTCTTATTCTCTCCAGTCTTGTAGGTAAAGCTGCCTTTTGTCATGTAACAACGAATTGCACTTATGTGATGCTGTCTCAAGTTACAACTTTTTCCCAAAGCCTTATACTTCAAAAAATTGTGGCTGTAGTATTGCTTTTATGCCTGAAGCTAAATATATCAAACCAGTGAGAGTATACCAAAGAACAAAACCCTGTTAATTAAGTTTTTTTATAAGATTGATATTCCAATAAGTCGGTTTCTTTAAAAAAATAAAAAAGGAATATTTGAAAGGAGTGAGGTTTTAAAACAATCATTTTGTCTTTCTAGAGAGCAGAAGTGAATTCTTAGAGAAGTTACAAAGAGCTCGAGGCCAAGTAAAGCCATCTACTTCAAGTCAACCTATACTCTCAGCACCAGGACCCACTAAACTCACTGTAGGGAATTGGTCACTAACATGTTTGAAAGAAGGAGAAATTGCTATTCATAACTCAGATGGTCAGCAAGCAACAATATTGAAAGAAGATTTACCTGGTTTTGTATTTGAATCTAATAGAGGAACCAAACATTCATTTACTGCAGAAACTTCTCTGGGTAAGTATGTAGGTATATAAATTTAGCAGATAAAAATAAAGAGTATGTTAAATTGCAGTAAAAAAATGTCTTGTGAAATGTCCTTTTTTTTTAAGGTTCAGAATTTGTGACTGGCTGGACTGGCAAAAGAGGCAGAAAACTGAAATCTAAGTTAGAAAAAACAAAGCAAAAGGTATATTTGTGGGATTTGCTTTTATTTTTTTAAGTCTTTTATACTGACATGGTAAGGTTTCTAAGCATTTAGTAATTGAGCCTTATAACATAAGCTACCCTAATTTAAAATTGTTTTAGTTTTTTTTTTTTCCCTGTGCTGTGGTCATTATTTTCCACACTATATATACACTTACTTATAATTTTTATACAGTATACCCTTGAACAATATGGAGGTTGGGCTCCGACTCCTTGTGCAGTCAAAAATCCATGTATAACTTTTGATTCCCTAAAAATCAGTTGTCCTGTGATATCCATGGGGGATTGGTTCCAGGACCCAGTATGTTCAAGGCCCTTTATAATGTTGTAGAACAATGCATACAGTTGGCCCTTGGGATATGTAGATTGCTAACCGTGCATCGAAAATACTATTTTTGATTTGTGGTTGGCTGAATCCGTGGATAAGAAACTTGAGGATATGGAGGGCCAACTGCACGTTTATTGAAAAGAATCCACGTATAATCGATCCGTGCAGTTCAAAATTGTGTTGTTCAAGGGTCCACTGTACATATACTAAATAGCAACATTAAAACAGAAACAACATGGAAATGCAGACAATAAAATTTATTTGAAAATAATTTGACTTACTGTCACAAAAACTTTAAAATCATGCCTTATTGATAGCAATATTTTTAGTGATACAGTGGGATTGAAAATGCATCATTATATTTTCTAATCCTGATTTAATATTTTGTGATAAAGCAACTTGAATGCCTGGTTGTATATTCAGATTATTCTGGTTCTTAGTTTAATAGCCATCTTAGATGAAATCACTGTTTCAAAAAGATACAGGAGCAAATGTGTTTTTAACTCAATTTTCAAAATCCTAATACTAATTTTTAAATTATATCCATTTATTCTATCCAAGTATTTATTATTTAAAAAAATATGGCCAGTACATTTCCATCTTTATTATATCAGTTGTTCTTGGATTTTTTTCATTTTTAAAAGAGAAAAAAAAGTAATAGTTAGATTCAATATTTTCTGATGATAGATTATTTTAAATTTACCTATAACAATGATATTAAGTAGTTCTTTCATACAGTGTGTGAAGAATTTTTTTTTGGTGGTTGGGATAGGGCTGGTAGTTGTGCTTTGATGACTTTGGCCATGGAAATGGTTGTAACATGTTTTATTTGAAGTAGTTTTTTTTTTTAAACATTTTATTGGGGAATGGGGCAGGGGAACAGCACTAGGGAATTGGGGAAGGGGAACAGACAAGTTGCTGTCCTTTTGTTCTTCAGTCTAGTTGTGGAGGATGTTGCTTCACTGGCCCATGTTGGTATTATGATCATTGTGCTCTTTACAGGTGAGGCAGATCGGTCGCCGGCCTCTGGACGGCTGCTCACGGTGGCTCTTGGCAGCTCATGCTGGCTGATGGCCGCTCACGATAGCTCATGGCAGCCCATTGCAGCAGGGGCTGCAGCCTATGCCGTCGCCGGCAACTCACGGCAGCCCAGCTCCAGGTTGAGCCGTTGTTTCACCATCTTAGCTGTAGAGGGCAGTGTCACTGGCCCTTCATGTGGGATTGGAACCTGGGCCCTGCTGCTCAGAGCTGGTGTCCCAAGCCAGTTTTTAAGCAACGCGCCACTCGGCTGCCCCCCCCCCTTTTTTTTTAATATATAAAGATGCTCATGTCTTCATTTTCAGTTGTTCTTGTGCTGGGCCATACCAAAGGTATTTCTATTTGCTAGACCTTGGAAGGAACATAGCCTACTTGCTTGTGCATATTCTCTCTCTCTCTCTCTCTCTCTCTCTGCCTCTCTTTCTCTCTCTCTCTCTATGTATTTCTTATTACTTCTGTAGTTATACAGTCATGCTCTGTATAACAACATTTTGTTCAACAACAGATCACATATCCAATGGCAGTCCCATTAAGATTATAATGGAGCTGAAAGTTCCTATTGCCCAGTTTCGTAGCACAACACATTACTCATGTTTGTGGTGATACTTCATTGACAGTATGGTACACACAATTATGTACAGTACATAATACTTGATAATGATAATAAATGACTATATTACTGGTTTATGCTATTTACTATACTTTTTATCATTATTTTGGACATTCTCTTTTTACTTATAAAAAAAGGTTTGCTATAAAACAGTATGCCATGTTACACTGGCAGTAGTCTCATATATCTCATGTTTATCACATCTGTTGATTACATCATTTTCTCTTGTGCTTGATTTAATTTTGTGTTGTTTTCTATAGTAACACACTGTACAGGTTTGTAGCCTAGGAGTAATAGGCTATACCAGATCGCCTAGGTGTGTAGAAGGCTGTATCATGTAGGTTTGTGACAGTGCACTTTATGGTGTTTGCACAACGACGGAATTACCTAACAGCACATTTCTCAGAATGTATCCCTGTTGTTAAGTGGCACATGACCATATATATTATTTCATGATTGCTTCTGTTTTTTTTTTAAAAATAGTGTGAGGCCAGAGATTTCTTCTAATTCAGGATATCTTAAGGGCATTTGAGGAAGACATAATCTCAATTGAAGATAGCCATTAGATACTAAAAGGAATTTGAACTATGTACAGTCAATTTTTATTATTCACAGTAGTGATGTTCTTATAAAGTTGCCATTAATACTGGATTATCGCTCCTAGGGGAAATAAAGGGTTAGGTTTCTGTGAGGCTCTGGTCACATTATTGTTATCTGATCCGTACTGAACCTTGATTTATGTGTGTTTTTGTTTCAAGACACCATATGCAATAGGGATTGTTGACTCATTAGCATTAAACTTGTGGCGAACAGCACTATCATGGCTGAATGAAGCTTATTTAACTCATATATTTTCTCAGTAAAGCATATGTGCCTTCCTGCACTTGGGAACACTGGACTGCAATTCAGGACTGTGTTTGGGGGCCATTTAAAAAAGGGAAATCTAGGGTCAGCCAAGTGGCTCAGCTGGTTAAGAACTCGCTAGGGAGCGCCAGCTCTCAGCAGCAGGGCTGTGGTTCGGATCCCACATTGAGGGCCAGTGACGCTCGCCCTCTACAGCTAAGATGATGAATAACAGCTCGACCTGGAGCAGGGCTGCTGTGAGTCGCCGGTGACAGTGTAGGCTGCAGCGGGGCTGCAGTGGGCTGCCATGAGCTATGTGAGTGGCTGGCAGCCAGTGTGAGCGGCCGGTAGCCGGTGTGATCGGCTGACCAATGACCGGCAACCGATTACCTCACTGCAGCGGGGCTGCAGTGGGCTGCTGTGAGCTATGTGAGTGGCTGGCAGCCAGTGTGATCGGCTGACCAATGACCGGCAACCGATTACCTCACCCAGGAAGAGCAGTGATCATACCAACATGGGCCAGTGAAGCGACGTCCTCCACAGCTAAACTGAAGAACAAAAACAGCAATTTGTCTACTTGTCTGTTCCCCTTCCCTGATTCCCCAACGCTTTTCCCCTCCCCCCAAGTCCCCAATAAAATCTTTAAAAAAAAAAAGTGAAATCTACAAAAAGCACAAACCTGTGAAAAATGTGGCACAAAATAGGGTGTGAAAAGGACACTTGCTTAGGTGTAAGAGCTAAAACAGGAAGGTAGAGGGTCACCTTGATTGACCTCAGCTGGGAACATGGCACTAAGTTTTCACAGCACTCATTGTGCATGCATGCCCAGAAATTACTGAAAGTGCTGCAAGTATTGTTTTGGGTATTACAAATAAATTTTAGCGAGTGAATTTGCAAATAGGGAACTGTTAAATAATGATCTCGTGTCATTGTTTATAAAGCTACTATTCAGCTATCTCAGGAGTTTCTTGGAATACTTAATATGTAGTATTAACCAATGAATCTAGACTAACTCACAGGGAACCAAAATTTCACAATATAAAAGAAAAGTGAATCAAGAAGAATATCTCAGTCCTATATTTTCATTTTCTTAAAAAATGTAGTCATTGATTCAGTTTCTTGAAATTAGTAGTAACTCAGTGACCATGTGGCCTTTCTTTTGTGTATGAAAGCAGTGCATATCAAAATACACTAATTTTTAGTAAAAATAATTTAACTTAATTTTATTCTCAGGTTTTATTTATTAATGGTATTTTATAAAGGGATAGTTTCTTCAATGTTATCTAATATCCAGAACTTACTTATCTTAATTCTGAAAGGCATACCAAAATAGAATGGAAAGGCAATACTAATTCATTTAGGGAGCAAATATTTTTCTATTACATTGGGTTATACTAGGTTGGTTTGTGATTTAAATGAAATTGCGTAAAGTGTAAATTTACATTATTTAATCATATATTTTTAAATAGTGTTATGTACTAAATTTCATCAGACCCAAGGTTTGGATATGTATGGATTGTGCTCTCAAATAATTTAATTTAAATGAGAAGTAATTAGTTCCCAAGCTAACAATAGTCATTTCTTCTCATGATGAAATATGTAAATATATGAGTGTGATATAAATACTACTTCATGTGAATTATATAAATAGAAAAAAGGCGTACAACCTAAAGTATACCCAGAATGTTCAAAGGTTCAGCTTTGGTTGATGAAATTATAGGTGGCTTAATTTTCTTTTTTTTTTTTGCTTATTTACATTTTCTAAATGGTTCAACAACTTTTATATAAAATTTAGAAAAGCAAAGTTAATTTTTTACAGATTGTTAAATTTGGTTTAAATGAAATAAGCTCGTTTTTGGCATATGAATACAAAGTTTAAATAACCAAAATAAAATTTTGAGTTCTTCTTTTACCACTGCTAAAATCTACTAGAACACTTTTTCAACTTTTAGAACCCTTTGACATATATGAATAAAAGTAGTATCATTTTTTGGAAGTTGATAATGGCACAAACATTTTAATTCTAAAAGTTGCATATATACATGTAAAAGGAAAGATTTGGTAAAATTATGAATTGTAGTGAAAATTCACATTTTCTATTAATTTTGATAGGTACGAACTATGGCTCGAGATTTATATGATGACCACTTTAAAGCTGTTGAAAGCATGCCTCGTGGAGTAGTGGTAACACTCAGAAACATAGCAACTCAGTTAGAGTCATCTTGGGAACTTCATACAAATAGACAAGTATGTTAGCCTCTAGATTTTGTGACATGCATTAACCTTGGTTTAGTTTTTCCCCTTTAACCTTTATATCCTGGATATTGATTAGGTGTCAGCAAATTATCACCCACAAGCTAAATTTGGCTTGCCACCTATTTTTGTATGGCTTTGTGAGGTAGAATAGCTTTTATATATTTTTATTTTATTTTTCTAGATGAGAATTATATAACTCGTTTTTACATTTTTAAATGGTTGAAAACAAAAGTAAGAATATTTCATGATACATGAAAATTATATGAAAATGTGATGTCAGTGTCTAAATAGTTTTATTGCTCACAGCCATGTTTATTTATTTACATATTGTCTGTGACTGCTTTGGTGGCTACAATAGCAGAGTTGAGTAGGCATGAGAGAGACCACAAGGCCTGTAAAGGCTAAATATTTACTATCGGTCTTTTACAAAAATGTTTGCTGACCCTGCTAGAGATAATTTGCATTAGTAATTTGAATTTTTTATTCTTGTTTAGTATCTAATGTATTTTCATGGTAATTGATGTTTTTATAAATTAAGTATGTTAAGACCTATTTGTTTTTTTGATTGTCTTTATTATTTATTTTTTCTTTTAGTGTATTGAGAGTGAGAACACGTGGAGAGATTTAATGAAGACAGCTTTAGAAAATCTAATTGTACTTTTGAAGGATGAAAACACAATTTCACCATATGAAATGTGTAGTAGTGGCTTGGTCCAAGCACTTCTTACTGTTTTAAACAATGTAAGTTTATGATGTAGTACAGAACAAAGTATATAGTTTTAAAAATTGTTTATAGCTACACTTTTGGCATAGTGGTATTTACTTTGTCAAGAAATATTAATAGTTGATTAATAAATATTATTTATAATTTCTCCAGCCTTTCCTTCAAGTTGTATTACTAATTTGAGCCAATTGAATTAAATAATTGCGTGTACTTATTTAGATTTTTGAGTTACCTGATTATAATTTGTTCAAGATTTTGTTCAACAAAACACTTAACTTTAGCCTAAGATTTAACATTATTCACTGCTCTGATTTCCTTATTAAAAAATGGAGTTAGTCAATAGACCCTCTTAATACCTAAATTATTTGCACAAAATTAATTTATGAGCAGTGACAGTTTAGGAAGTTTATGTGAATATTTGACAAGTATTTGCTAAGAAGCTTATATTTCTCTTCAGTTTCTTCTACCTTTAATATCTTTTTATTGTGATAAAATTTTGCTTTATTTTAATGAAACATCATTTATACTTACTGTAACAAATTCTAGCAAAAGTATAAAAAATATAAAAAGTGAAAGTTTTCTCATTTCACTTGGCCATTTTTATTTCTTGATCTTAATCATTGTATGTGGTAATATACTCTAAAGATTCACTTTAACTTCAGTCTCATGTTTTCTTTATTAATTTTATCATTTTCATTTATTCCCATTAATTATATATTGATATGTCACATTATATCACTTAGTAATAGCTATGAAATCATTGTTTTTATAAAGCAGTTATTTTTTTTCTACTTAATGAAATAGTACTGTTAAAGTATTCATTCATAAATAATCTGAAAGACCTTGCATACTACAAATTGGGACAAATAGGGACAAATTGATTTAACAATGTAATTACTAGGGCCGGCTGAGTGACTCAGTTGGTTAAGAGCGAGCTCTGAGCAACAGAGTCACCAGTTCGATTCCCAGCCTGGGCTGAGCTGCCGCTGAGCTGCCAACAGGTGACAGGATGGCTTAGCTAAGAAAAACATAAAAATAAATAAAATAAAGTTACACTCCTTAACAATGTAATTGCTACTTCATTATAACATTGAAGAAGGAAGAAAAATGTGTTTATGTTCTACTAGTCATAAAATAAAAAGAATTTTAATGGAAAGAAAATAATGACTTCAGTTAGATTGTATTGATTTTTTTGAAAATATTAATATTCATCTTTGCAGCATGTATTTTTGATAACTTTAGAAACAGCCTTAAGACTTTTTCTTTTGTACTTTTTGTTTTCTTTAGAGCATGGATTTAGATATGAAACAAGATTGTAGTCAACTGGTAGAAAGAATAAATGTTTTTAAAACAGCCTTTAGTGAAAATGAAGATGATGAAAGGTAAATGCCCACATTTCTTATAATTTGGTATTTGCAGTGTTTGCAAGTTGGTATACTTACTTTAAAATAGAATCTAATGTAATGTTTATACAGAAAATAGGAACTTTATATTTAAAAAAATAGCTTATGGGGCCGGCCAAGTGGCGCGATGGTTAAGAACTGGCTTGGGACGCCAGAGGGTCCTGGTTCGGATCCCACATATGAGGGCCAGTGACACTGTCCTCCACAGCTAAGATGCTGAACAACAGCTCAACCTGGAGCTGGGCTGCCGTGAGTCGTCGGCCACAGCGTAGGCTGCAGCCCCTGTGGCAGTGGGTTGCCATGGGCTACCGTGTGTAGCCAGCAGCCAGCGTGAGCGGCCAGCAGCCGCAGTGAGCGGCCGTCCAGAAGCCGGCGACTGATCTGCCTCGCCCGGGAAGAGTGCAATGATGGTGCCAACTTGGGCCAGTGAAGCAACATCCTCCACAATTAGACTGAAGAACAAAAGGATAGCAACTTGTCTGTTCCCCTTCCCCCAATTCCCCAATAAAAATCTTCAAAAAAAAAAATAGCTTATGTTATAAATTCATAATAAGAAAGATTTTCTAAGCATATTTTAATCTAATGGAATAAAGGAGAAATTACATGTCTGTTATGAATGCAGCTGACCACTTAGTTTAAATTAGATGCCCCTTTAAGATACAACTGGAAATTTGAATACAGATTAAATATTTGATGATGTTAGGTAATAATTGTATATACTTATTTAGGTGTGATAATATGATTTTTGGATTTTTAAGAATTCTTCTGCAGAAATATATACTCAAAATATTTTTAGATAAAATGAGATGTTCTGAATTTTTGTCAAAATATATTGGAGAGATATAGGTAGAGACATAGGCAGAAATCATTTGGTTATTAGTAGATAATAGTTGCAGCTAGGTCATGGATGGATGACAGTTGGGTTGATGAGGGTTCATTTTACTATTTTATTTGCTTTTGAATATGATTGAATTTTTAAAACAATTGAAATTCAATTAATTTTAAATGGCATTTTAAACGAGTGTGTATTATTGATGTAATAATTTAAACATTACTGTAATAAAAATTTTAGCTCTCTGCAAATTATTTTACTGCTAATAAACACCTCAACAAAAACATCTTTTTACATAAATTCCTTTAAGTGGTATTACTGAGTTAAAAGTTATACATGATTTTTAACTTGATACAAATTGTCAAATTATATAAAAGAATATATAAAGCAATGAAGTTTTGAAAATGACAGTACTTGTTGGGAAAGCAACACTGGTATAATGTTTCTGGAAAATAAGTCAAATATTACATAATAAAATTGTTTAAACTTTAAATAGTAAATTACACATCTACTTTGAATGCAGTAGATAAAAGTTTTATAAGAAAAATGGAATAATTTGATTTTAAGTGAAGGAAATTGAATTGAGAGTATCTTTGATTACTCAGATGTAATGTGATAATTAAACTTCTCTTTGCACTTATAAGGAAAGTAGGGTTCTATATGAGATTGGTTATTGCAGCTTCTGTATGAACTTTTGCATGAAATTATATAAAAACTGTTAACAATTTTTTCTTAACAGTCGACCAGCAGTTGCATTAATTCGGAAGTTAATAGCTGTACTGGAATCTATTGAACGTCTACCTCTCCATTTGTATGATACACCAGGATCCACATACAACCTCCAGGTAACCATGAAAAATGCACTCACTATTATTGTTGAATACATTTAGGAATAGTCTTATGCTTTTCTTTAAAAAAGACAAAAAAACAAAAAGCTTTGCTTTCATATCGTATTAAATAATGATTCTGTTTAATTATTAAAAACTTTAGCCCTAATGCCATTTGATTGTTCTTTTTTAGTGACTCTTGAATGGCATTTCAGTTCTGTTTTGTTTAATCAATCACTAGATTTTCAATAAAATATGTATTATAAGAATCATATTTGGTAAGTTATAAGTGGAAAAAGACTTCATCAGTGGAAAAGCAGAAAAAAGAATTCTTTTGTTCTAGAATTATGAGTTAAGTCCCTTTGTCTCTGTGTGTCAACATATGAGAAAATGTGAAAATATATTAAACATAGTTTTATTCTTGCTTTCGGTATGTTTGTTATTGGTTAGAGCCAGATTGCCTTCCTTAGTTATTCCTATTGATCTTTTCAAATATCTCTCATAATCATATGCATTTATAAAAAGCCTGTTTCTTCCTAAATGTTATTTGGTTCACATTCTCATTCATTCATTCATTTATTCTTTTGTTAGCAGCTGTGATCCAAATACGAACAAACGAAACAAAAATCCTACTGTTAATATTTTCATCACTTCTTCTGTGGGTTGCTTTAATGTTTCCCAGCAGATCCTTTGGCTTTGATTCTTGCCTTTGTGCCACCTATCCTGCATTCCATTGCATGGAATGATTTTTTTTTAAATGTAGCCTTTAAAAAGTGACTAAGAATCTAGATTTGCCCAAACAGTGCCTACTCTAGGTAAAAACCTTGCCATACCCCCAAGAACCCAACAGTGTTACTTAAAGCCATTAGACTCCCGACTAGAGAGCTTGTGTAGGAAGTTGCAGTGTAGTTAGTGCACCTGACATCCTATATATTATTAAACAAGAGGTAGAGGTCTACTTTCTTTAATTTCAGGCAGAATAATATACAGGAGTCAGGGGTATTTTGGTCCAGCCTTTTTAAGGTTTTATTCTTGATAAGTCAGTGAAGTAGAGCTAAGTCTCAAAGACTGGAAATTCCCTTGGTTATACAGTCCTAGGAGCACCAACCTTTTCTATTATGAATTTCTCATTTCAGGAGACAGCATGATAAAAGGAAGGCTAGGATTGTGCCCTCTGGTAATTTTGCAGTCTGATATGCTATGCAAATGCACATATAAATATTTAATTACCTGTCTATAGGAATTTGTTAAGATTTATACAGAAATGAAGCTAGCCTCCTACTTGTTGCTTACTAAAATGGATTGGGAGCTATGATGTATTTTTAAAAGTTTATTAGCCATAGATTATTTAATATATTCTAGCTTTAAAGGAACAAGCTAATTAGGTACTTTTCATAACCTATGGAAAATTAACAAGTTATAAATTAGAGATGTAATACTTGTGTTAAAGTGTTTTATAATAATTTTATTTACACCATGCTTGTTTGAATTTGTTTAGAAATTTTAAGTATTTAACTTTGTTTCTTTCTTGAAAGCCAATATCACTTATTCAGTAGACCTTTTTTTCATTTAAAAAATCATTTAATGGAAAACAGACACTGACCCTTTCTTTATAAATCTGAATTTATGGTTATCTTTATAAATCTGAATAGCTGTGTTCATGTAACATGTCTAATTTTTACAATTCTAAGAAAAATGCAAGGTATTTTCTGAAGCATTTTGATTATTTCTGGGTAGATACTTACAAGAAGATTAAGATTTCGGTTGGAACGTGCACCTGGGGAAACTGCATTGATAGACAGGACTGGCAGGATGTTGAAGATGGAACCCTTAGCTACAGTTGAATCTTTGGAACAGTATCTCTTAAAAATGGTGAGCTCTTGCAAGTGCATGGTGAAATAAGCATTTGCTGTTGTGGTTTAGCTCTTTAGAAAAATAATTTGGGAAGCATCCATCCAGAGTTATGGCAATATAGTTTGACCTAGTAATTCCATTTTCAGGAATCTATTCTAAGAAAATAATTTTTATACACTATAAATGGTTTCTTCATAAAGATGTTTATTATAGTTATTTGTGATACTAAAATAGTGACCAAAACCTTAATGCCAGTCAATAAAGGAATATCAAATTGATAATTATTTCCATTAGTTTGAATACTATTACATAGGTATTAAAATGTATAAAGAGTGATAAGAGAAAAATGTATGATGAAGATCTCATTTTAGTCTGATCTCATTTTAGTCTATCTGTTAAAATAATCGACTAAAGAAATACTCTGTTATTAATAGGGGGGTACATTGGTTGTGGAAATTTCTATTTTTCTGTTTTGTTTTTTCCCAAATATTCTTTAATGAATATTTGTTATACTAAATTCACATTAAAGGGACAGAAAAAAGTAGGCAGTGTGTTTTAAAATAGCATTATTAAGGTGTCTTTTCTATTTTCTTTGGTTTAGGTAGCAAAGCAGTGGTATGATTTTGACCGATCTTCATTTGTTTTTGTTCGGAAATTAAGAGAAGGCCAAAATTTTATATTTCGGCACCAGCATGATTTTGATGAAAATGGAATCATTTACTGGATTGGGACAAATGCCAAGTAAGTCATTTTATTTTATGTAGCTTTAAAATGTTCACCTGGAAAAAGAATTCTAGGTAGTAGAATAAAATTTGAGTATCCTGTAGTTTAAGAATGTTATAGGTTAAATTTAAGACTATTGAAATTAATTTTTATGAAGAGATCTAAATTAATTTTAGAATTTTTAAAATTTGTATAGTTTTATGTGGAAAAACGCAGTTATTTTAGTAGTGTTAACTGCTAATATTTTCTTTATTTTTGTGTAGAACTGCATATGAATGGGTAAATCCAGCTGCTTATGGACTTGTAGTAGTAACATCATCAGAAGGAAGAAATCTACCTTATGGCCGCTTAGAAGACATATTAAGTCGTGATAATTCAGCTTTAAATTGTCATAGCAATGATGATAAGAATGCCTGGTTTGCCATAGATCTTGGTCTTTGGGTGATACCATCAGCATATACACTTCGTCATGCTCGTGGTTATGGAAGGTCTGCACTAAGAAATTGGGTTTTCCAGGTATCCAAAGATGGACAGAACTGGACTTCTTTGTATACCCATGTTGATGACTGCAGTCTCAATGAACCAGGGTTAGTGGAGGAGTCTTTGTGAATTAGAAAACTCAGTCAAGAGCTTTGTTTATTTGTATAGTTGTATACCCTTAGAGCTCTCTTCATCAGATACTGAAGCAAGATTTACTTGGTAAAAACATCACTTGGTAATACAATTTAAGTATTAAAACTTGAAATATTGACTTGACCAAAATTTTCCCCAAAGCTTTAAACATTAGTAGAAAGCTGAGCATATTTATTTAAAAAGAAATTGATATATAGCGATATGTGTATATATATATAACACACTAATAAAAACAAAAAAAATGAAATTAGCTTTTTACTCTCCTATATTCACATAATACATGTGAATGTTCAACAAATTAACAGTGATTTTTTGCTGGTTATTGAATTATGGCTGACTTAAATTTCTATTATTTTTATGTATTTATTTTCCTACATTATATGTATTGATTATATATGATTTTTTTAAGGATGGAAGGTCAGTATTATATTTCTAAAAATTTTAGTTCTATTAAGTTTTAATTGTACATTGTGGCATATTTTGAGGGGTAAAAGTGGGGAGTTAAATTACTTTCTGCATTTGATGTATGGAAGGAGCTTCTTAACATTAGAATTAATAGGTAACATTTTCAAGCTTTAAAGTTAGTATTTAAATATATCACTTAACGGAATTTATTTAAAAAAACTTTTTCATCATAAAAGCATATTTGTTATTCATAAAATTTCTTGACTTATTTCTTTGGATTTTATTAATCCTAAGTCATTTAATGTTATCAGGCAAATTAATAGTATACATTTAAACATTTCATATGTAACTTATTTTCTTGACTGTTTTTCTCCCTTTGATTTCTTGATTCTTGTGTAACAAACTGTTGACTGAATATGAAAGTTAGTTTATTTTTCCTATAGTTTTCTGTTATGTAAAAAATCTTCCCCACCTTAAACATCTTTTTCATCTGTTTTAAAACATTACACAATTTTTTCCTTAACACATTTACAGATCAACAGCAACCTGGCCTCTTGATCCACCAAAGGATGAGAAACAAGGGTGGCGACATGTGAGAATTAAACAGATGGGAAAGAATGCCAGTGGACAAACTCACTACCTCTCACTGTCTGGATTTGAACTTTATGGGACTGTAAATGGAGTATGTGAAGATCAGCTAGGTAAAGAGATGATAGTAGGTTTTTCTAACTTAAACAATTACATTTATCAAAAGTGATTTTGTTTCTATTTCTAATTTTTACCATACAGGAAAAGCAGCTAAGGAAGCAGAAGCTAATCTTAGAAGACAGAGACGTCTAGTACGCTCCCAGGTTCTGAAATACATGGTTCCAGGGGCTCGTGTCATCAGAGGCCTTGATTGGAAATGGCGAGATCAGGATGGCAGCCCACAGGGAGAGGGCACAGTCACAGGAGAACTGCATAATGGTGAGTAGGTGTTTAGCATTTGTAGTATAGAAATCAAGTACTTAAATAACAAAATATTTTTCTTTGTGTTATTTTGGCATAATTTCTAAATTGTATCAATGTCTCAGCACTATGTAGAAGAACGGATCTACTGATTCCACATTAAAAATGGAAAAAATCATTTATTTAGAAATAAGGGGAAAATTTAAATTCCTAGATTTTTGACTCAAAACTTATTGCTAATATTTTGAAGTGATTAGTAAGCTAGTATAAGTTGAATTACCCTCAAGACACATTTTCTGCTGTTTTCTTTTTTTAAGTTTATTATTCATAAGTTTCCATTGATTTTCATCTTAATTTCTTATGTATCATCTTGTTAACCTCACAGGACTCAGGCAATAATTTTTTACTCTTAAGTCACGTAGAACAAAACGCATTAACATTTTTACTGTTTTTTCAATAAAGTGTAGAACAAGAATTGTAGCCTCTTCATTTTTTTAGATTATAAGCTATTTCTAAGTAGTCAGTGTTTGTCAGACTACCAGCTTTTTTCTTTGGGATTTTAAACTTTTGTGTTTTGTAATGGTTATTGTTGTTTAAGTTAATTTTTAACCTTTGTTGCTATAGATTTTGGGAAGTCTGTACGCACTTAATCAATTGCTATTAGCTCCCAGAAGCAACTATTACGACTAATTTTTTCCTGATAACTTAAAAGCCTGATTTATTGGCGGATAATTTGCCTAACCAGTAATGTGTTCTTAGGAATTTCAACTAGCATTAAAAACAAAAAGAAGAGGAAAATGTTCTTATTCTCAATTTACACCAAATATTTAAAGAGCTATAATGAAAGTGCTTAGGAGAATAACATTTAATATCTTAATATATTTATGTTCTGTGTGATAAAGCCATTAATTTACTTAAATAAACTCTTTGATTTTATTGCTTTTAAGATTCTGTTCCTTGAATTACCTTTACTACCAAATGCATTTCTCTATAATCGTACCCTAATTGTAAATCATTGTCACGATAGCAGGTTTGCAGTGAGTGAGCATGTATCTAACTGCCAAAATTTATAAAAACCAGTAATAGCTGAGATAATAATAGTACTATTCAACTCAGAAATTTCAAATGTTTCGGTTTTTTAGAAATCTCAATGATAGCTAAGATCCTGTTTCTCCTAAATTATGTGTTTTGGCTTTTAAGTGTGTGGCCTAGTTAGGGATGTGTGAATGGAGTTTGCTTTTCTCAGGCTGGAATCAACTAAAGCAACTATATAGGAAAATTGGGATCTTATTTTCAGAATTTAGTATTGAAGAAAGACTTATTTTTGCTGATCTGGCAAATGTAGAGATTCAGAGTTTTGGCTCATCAAGATGGCCATTGCTGTTAAGTCATACCATAAAACCTTTATGTCAGGGAGTGTTCTTAGCTTTGAAATACTTAAGCCAACCATTTCTTTTTTTTTTCAGCTGAGCCATCCTGCCACCTGTTGGCAGCTCAGCAGCAGCTCAGCTCGGGCATGGAATTGAACCGCTGTTGTTCAGAGCTTGAACTCTTGAGCGAGCTCTTACCCAACTGAGCCGCTTGGCCAGCCCTAGCCAAGCATTTCTTTCTTTTTTTTTTTTTTTTTT